TTCCTTCCTTCCTTCCTTCCTTCCTTCCTTCCTTCCTTCCTTCCTTCCTTCCTTCCTTCCTTCCTTCCTTCCTTCCTTCCTTCTTTCCTTCCTTGCTGCTGTACATACCACAGTATTTTGTATGTTACTATTGCAAAGGCAAGGGGAGGAATCATAAGAGTTAATAAAAATTAATATATTCATTCATTGCTATTAAAATCCCAGCCCATTTTGTGATGGACAGCTCTCATGATAGCTCATAATACTGCCGGAAGTGAACACCCTTTTATTGTCAACATCTGCAAAAATAGAGTAACATTTCTTTATAGAATTAAAAAATAAAAATAATTAATCAGAAGTGAAGTGCAGGGTAAGAAGAGCACTTACTACATGCACCAACCAATCGACCAATCAACAAGAAAGCCTTTTTTCTACTTTCCAGTGATATTACAATGATACGACATTGGGAAGAGCAGGAGAAAGAACTGGATGTAATTGTGATTTAGCTGATAATTGTTATATGTCCAAACCATACTGTCAGTTTTGTAGAATTTCTTAACAAATTTATGTTCTTTTTCCATCTTCTTAACATGATTGTTCCTTTGCTCATTGATGTTCTCTGCGAAGTTAGCCACTTTTGAGTGGCCTCATGCTGACCAGAAGGACATAGCTTTGTGGGAGAAGTAAATAAAATTAAGGCAAACTCTTCTAATTGCTAAGGAATTTGTGATGGTCCCTTTGGCTGCTATCCTTTGTAAATTCTCTTTGGCTGCCTGGAGAGCGATGATTTGATTAAAGTTATGGGGAATTAACAGTTGGGTTTCTGAAATTCATTACAACCTTCCAATGATTAACTCTGACTCTTCCCAGAATATTGAGGTTGATATTGTATACGTGATAACAGTTTACTGCTGAACCTTTAAAATAAAAATAAACTTAAATAGCTTGTGGCCATTGTCTCAGATAGAATAAGCTAGATTTTATCTTTAATGTTGAAAACAGTATTTGCTAATGCATGAAGAGTAAGTAGACTTGAGTTTTAATGCAAGAAAGTATTTATAACATGGCAATCACCTAATAAGGTTTTAATATGTATGATTTGTCCTTAAAAGTAATGGATTAATGGATTTGCTATCTTTTATCTTTATTGTTTGTTTTATTGATTTTATTATATTTTTGTATTATTGTAAGTCATCCAGAGTTATTAAGAATTGGGCAGTATACATGTTTAATAAATTATCATTAGTCACACACAATCACTTGAGACTTTCAAGAAGAGACTGGACTGCCATCTGTCAGAAATTGTGTAGGGTCTCCCGCTTGGGCGGGGGGTTGGATTAGATGACCTACAAGGTCCCTTCCAACTCCGATTATCTATTATCAGCCAGATGTTTAGACTGGATTTGGCATTTTTTCTAGTCCTTTCCAAGGATCTGGGATAGGCAGATGTTATTGTTTAATAAGTAATATTAATGGTATTGTCGCAGAATGTAAGCTGTTCCAAGTAAGGCTGCATTTTGCAATTGAGTGGTGATTTTGTCAGTGCTGATGGTGTTCAAATGGTGCTCCAGATATTTTGAGATTGGCAAAGGCATCTATTATTAGTAGTACTAATTTTGCTTTCTTTTGCCACAGTTGTTCTGTTTACATTTGCAGGTTTTTGTATTTTGTGGTTTTTCTCCAGTTCTTTCTCTTCTACTCTGCTGTCTTGACGTATTGAAGTATACACTATAGTGCCCATACCTTTTTGTCTTCCTTATCAGCAATTGTTAAATTGTTGTCTGTAGCAACAATGTGAAGTCACAGCTGCCTGATCTTTAACTTTTATTGTTGTTGGCATTGAGTTCTTCCAAGAATCTAGGATGTCATAATGTATCAGAGTAGTATATGTGTGAATCCAAGCAGAGGTTCCTTTTACAATTGACAGTTGCAAATTTTGTCAATGCACAGATTTTCTAAGTGCTACCTAAGATTTTTTGGTAAGATTTTCACTGATATGCTATAATCTTTCAGCTTTAATTTTGAGATCTTGATACTTTGTGAACTTCTTCAATTCTTTTTCTTCTATTCTACTATCCCCTTATATTGCTGCCTCAGTTATCTGTACTTTATTCTTTTCAACATATACCTATCTGGTATATAATTATTATGGCCTGTTGCAGTCAACCAGCTGTTCAGATGGGATTTGACACTTTTGTCCATCTATTGAATTCTTTCCAAGGACCTAGAATAGGCAGGTGTAGATGTTTGATGGTGTTAGAGTATCTTTGCAGGATGTAAGTTGTTCTGCATAAAGCTGTTTTTTGCAATTGACTGGTGGTGAATTTGTCAATGCCGATGGTGTTCAAGTGGTACTCCAGTTGATTTGGGATTGCACCCAAGGTACCTATGACTATTGGTACTAACTTTAATTTATTTTACCACAGTCAATCTATTGCTATTTGTGGGCCTTTGTATTTTGTTATTTTCTCCAGTTCTTTCTCTTCTATTCTGCTATCTCCAAATATTGCCACATCTGTTATTCAGACTTTTTTTATCTTTCTTATCAACAATTGTTAATTCTGGGATGTTATGTGGCAGGTGCCTCTCTGTTAGAAGTCCCAGAGCCCCTTAGCTTCTTCATTTTCTATTACTTTTATCTCTTTTATGGTCTTACCAGTTCTTGCTTGCAAGCAAAAGGTATTTCTTGCAGATCGTCCAATGCACCATTGTTGCTACTTTGTTGTGCCGTTGTTTTTAGTCAATCTGCAGAATCTTCTTGCAGCAGCTAAATAGGTGGTCCACTGTTTCTCAGGTTCTTCGCAGAGGCAGCACTTGCTATCTGTTGCTGTCTTCTCAATTCTGGCTTTTTATGCATTTGTTCTTAATTATGGTTGTTTTTGTGCATCCAGAATTAGCCCCCTCTGTCTCTTTCTTCAACTTTCCTCCTCTTAGCCATTTCCAGCTCTTGCTTTCCCTGCTATTCTTTAACTGTACCAGCCATGTAATGCTTTGCCTTCCCATGATTACTTTCTGTTCTTCATTTGGTCTTTCTTATAGGCAAGTTTGGTCTCTCCAGTACTCGGCAGGCCTTCCTGGTATACTAGGTTCAGTGCATCTTCTTCATTATCCTTAACAAAAACTTCTCGTGCCCTTTCTTCTTCTTCAATTGTCCGATATACTTGCAAGATTCCACACCCGCCCATTTTCCTTGGTAAATAGAGTCTGTCAACGTTGCTGCATGGATGAAGGGCATGATGCATTGTCATTATTTTTCTGGTCCTTTAGTTCTGCTTGAATCTAGTCCACCATTCCAGCTGTGTATCTAATGACTGGAATTGGCCAAGTGTTGATTGTCTTGATGGTATTTCCTTAAAGTTTGGACTCTTATGATCTTCTTCACTCTCCTGATGTATTCATTTCTAACCTTTTTCTTGGCTTTGTTGTGCTTGATGCCAGCCTGAAGGATGCCCAAATATTTATAGTGACCATCTTCATCCAGACTCTTCATGTTATTTACATAGGACATCTTGGTTACTTCAGGTTTCAACATTTTCCCCACTTGGTGGTAAGCAGGGCGGGCACATTTGTCCAGTCCAAACTCTATTGCAGTATCTTAACTATATTATGTGGGCATGTAGAGCAGCGATTCTATTTCAGATGGTGTATTTCCATACTGCTTCAAGTTCATGTAAAGGACATGGCATATTATTATTATTAAGGTATTATTAATAGTAATAATTTAGTTAATTATCAAATTTATGTATTAGTTTAATACCCAGCTGACCGGCATAAGATGCAATCAACTCTCTAGAGCAGACAAAAGACTTTTGTCTTCTTTTCCCTGTGCCTCCTCTAATAGCTTCAGATTCCTTGCTTGTGTGTGTATGTCTGCATAGTTTCTGAGTAATGGTCTGAATTTGAACTGTTTGAAGTTGATATCTCTGTTTTGAGCTTGAAACAGCTGTTTTGCGTTCAAAACAGTTGTTTTGCTTTTTAAATTGATTGTTTTGGGGCACTTTGGAATGACTGAAATAGATTCTTTCAAATAGTTATTTTGAACTCAAAACACAGCTGTTTGAAT